TAGAGCGGAAGTAATTCAGCAAGCCTGTGGTGGAAATGACAGACATGGACAATGGCTACAGTGTTAGTTCAAGCAAAACCATTGTGCATTCCCTTGACTACTGCTGTCTTATACCTTCATTGGAAACTGAACCCTGCCACAGTAACCAAGTGCAGTTTTCACACTGATTTACACCTGGAATATAAAAATGATTTGGAGAAATAGTTTGAGGCACCAACAGTCTAACATCCCTTTGATGTTAACAAGCGGTAAATCAGGTTTCAGAGAGAGAGGAAGATGAAGAGGGAGACTGTATGATGGAGGAGGGAGGGCGAGGTGGAGACAAAAGGAAAAGAGAAGGTCAAGAGAGGGAAATAGTGACGATACAGGGAGATATAAAGAAAGTTAAAGGAAGAAAATAAAAAGAGAAATTGAAAAGGGGAAACAGGGAGGAGAATGGTTGGGCACCTTTCCTTTTATGTTATGGGAGCAGAAGCAGAGAGTAAAAAGTAAAATTGAAAGAAATTAAAAGATGACAGTAGATAGAGAGGAAACGGTTTAGCTCTGAAGTACAAAATGTTAACCTTTTTTGAGATCAAAGAGTTTCCTAAGAAAGCCAAAAAAAATGCACAAAAACACAAACTGTGTGTTGGCCCTGTGTGTGCTTGTTTGTGTTTATCAGCGAGAGGGGGAATTCTGTCCTGAGCTCGAGTCCAACAAGAATCAACCAGAATCTGACACAAATCCTAATCCTGCAAAATTGTTAAAACATCATAGAGATTCATCTAGAACCAGATACATTGATTAGTACTAAACAGTTCCATGAATATAACAATAACCAAACACCAAAAATATTAGCTTATGCTAGCTGCCAAGTTAGCATCACTCACGTTGAGCAGGAAAGGAGCGATAAAGATTCGGTGTGTGTGTGTATTGTGGAATGACACCAAGGCCAAATTACTGGTTTACATATATTAGCGTATCATTCAAATTTCTAATACTTACATCATAGTAACTGTGAAAAAGGAATAACATTTAATGTGTGTTTTGTCATTTTACTTAGGTGAATCTTTAAAACTAGGGGGCAGAAAGAACACAGGCCAGGCTTATCAGGTTGTTATTAGAGTAAATTCTAAGTTAGCAAACATTTTAAAGCAGAACTTAAAGCCAATTTTAGACATAAAGAAGGGTCCGCACGGTGACATGAGCATCCCCATTTTTACATGATAATTGTGAGTCCAATATTCACTGTCCTTTCTGTTTTCATTTCCATTAAGTCCTGAGAAAAATATCTAGCACTGTCTTCAGGGGATGTAAGAGTGGTACATACTGGTACATAAAGATAGAGCGCAGGCTAGAGAACAATCACATAAAAGAGCCCACGGCTGAGTAGAACCGCAGAGTAAACATAATCTACTAATCTCGAAATACTGAAATCTGCCTATAAATACCCAACGTATTATAGTTTTCCACAATGTAACATGTAACCCCCCCCCCGTTGCTTAAAACCCCAAATTCTCAGAAAAACATACATATGATATGACATGGTTTGAGGTTCCCAAAAAAGTTCAGACCCATAAAAAAGGTTGGGACAAAAGAGCGAAATCCTCATGGGACAATTAGGGCTTTGGAAAGTGAACAAGAAATTCCCAAATTCTATGGTTTTTCCACAATATTCAAGACAAGTGAAGCATCCCGTCTAGTCAGCAGCCAGGTACAAATGTGTATGACTGGATAAATATGAAACAGGGTGTTGCTGCTAAAGAGCATACACACTAGAGAACTCTACCCCAGCAAATCAATATTAAAAATACATAATATACATTTTAAAAAAGAGCAATGAAGCAGGACTGAGGGGAAGGAAATTTAAAATTAAAAAATTCAGAATAGTCAAGCAGCGAGAGTTAGACAGACTATATGAGACATAAAGACAGAGAAAGTCAGACAAAAGGAGTGCATGTTAAATGTAAGGCTGAGTAAAATAGGACAGGGTAGGGAGGAAGAATGAGGTGTGCTGGATAAGTGTAGCGTGGAGAGATGAAAGAGGGTGTGAGAGATAAAAAAGGACATAAACTGAGTGGGGGAGGAGGGAGGATAAGTGTAGGGTAAAGAAAGAGGGGGAGGATAAATTATGCTAGGAATAGGTGAATGGCTGTGGAAATAAAAAAGGAATCAGAAATAATGAGGGGGTGGGACATAGAGAGAAACAGAATGACAGTAAATATATTCAACACAGTTTTGCAGCAGTTGATATGATTGAATATTTCCCCTTGTTATAGAGCTTGTATAGTGATTTTAGTTTAAGTAAAAGTATATTTTTCTTCTTAACTTAAACACGTAGAAATTAAAATGAAACTGACATTAAAAAGTGAAAAGTTGTGTACACAAATTGTAGAAATTATGCGTTTTTTGCATGCTTGTTGTAAAGGGATAGCTCTTTGGCTATGTCTAAGATATATTTTTGGGGACATTTTTTTGCTGTAAATATAGAATTTAGTTTACTCTATGTACTATTTGGTTGCAGTAGATTATAAATTGTTTGTAATGTTACTACACAGTCCCAGAATAATATATAAATCTTATATACAATACAGTATAGCTACCTTAAAAAACTTGGGAGACCATAAAAATATGCCTACATTGGTTAATAATAAGCTTCCTTCTTGCATGAATCCATTGTTGGTAAAACACGAGGGATGGTTTGTCCAAAATATGTCATTTCAATCAGTCACACAGTCAGACAAGCAGGCAGGGTGAAAATGAAACTCCCTAAAATCCTGGCTTTTCCATTGTTCTGCCTGTCACATTGTCTGTAAAGGTTCTGTCGACTTTCTGAAATACAACCATAATAATCCAGTGTCTACATTCATTTATTGCTTTTCAGTTTCAATTTAATTTGAATAATACTGTCTAAAACTATTATAATTTCATTTCCATAATTATAGAAACAGAAAACATGTAATGGTGCTTTTATGGACAAGTTACAGAATTCAGTTAGATTGATAAATAAAACATTTTCCGCAGACTTGGCTGTCTATTAAAAGAGGCAAACATAGGATGATTTTATGCTTAAACAGATTGAAGAAGTCAATGGTTTGTTTGAATGAATTCAATTAATTATTGGTGTGTCTGACAAACGCAACAATACTGTATCTCTAAGTCATTGTAGGGTAGTGTTTCAGTGGCAGTATTAGATACGTTATGTATCAAACTTTAACTAACTGAGGGGGAACTGCTGTTTAAGACAAATAGTGGCAGAAGAACTATTCATATCAGAAAATACCTACAGTATACAACAATGTAAAAATACTCCAATACAAATGCGTAAGTCTTGAATTCAAAATCCTATTTATATTATCAACAAAAGGTGTTTCAATAATATAAAAAGTATCAAAACAAAATAGTAAAAGTTAGCAGCTGTTGTAAGTTGGTCCACATAGACACATAGAACGATATGTGCTCTCAACTGCTCCATTCAATAAGCACTATATCACACACACACACACACAAAAGACACACATTCTCTAGAGTAGAGTTGGTCTACTTCAGACAATTACAGTAGGTAGTGTAGTCCAGTGGTTCTCAAGGATCGCCAGATAAATCCAAGGGGTCATGAGAAGAATATTGGGCTAGCAAAGGAGAACAAAAAAGTACCTTTTAGAGTTTAGTTAGTTATTGAATAAATGTACTTTGTGCACTCAAGGACGTGCACAAGGCTGGGCTAAAGTTGCAGATGGGGCAGCTCAGAGCCATAAAAAATGCTCTATGCCTCCTGTGACACTATAGTCTATAGTGTGAGGACTGTGGACTTGATTAATGATGAATGGTATAACCAAAAGTCACAAGTTTTTCTTTATTGTAAGGGGTTTTAAGGCCTATTTCTGAGTATTTCATTTATTTCTGCGAAATTTAAACTTTAAATACCTGAACTCAAGCTATGTTGTCTGTATGCACAGAGCCTCAATCTCTAAAAAGAAACAGCCACATCCTGCATTAAAAACGTTCAAACAACCAAAGAGCTAAGAAATAATGGGCAAGTCTCAAGAAAATACACAAAAAAAACATAATACAGACAGAGAATTTTATAAAAAGTTACTAAAAATATCAGGAAAACATATTTTTCCTCAATATTCATGGGAAATCATCTTCTTAAAATTCATCCAAATATTTTGTTTTACACAAAACTTCTCGATTATTGTGTTCACTATGTGGGTTCATTGTACAGTTTATCAGTTGTTCTGTACCGTTATTGTTATGCATCGAATGTAACATGAGATGTCCATAAAATATGGCACTTTCGTTAGGGATTTACTCAATGATAGAAAAAGGGTCCCTTAAGGAAAAAGGTTGGAGACCAATAGTTTAGATGACTAACTTATCAGTGTTGTCAAATTTTAGACTACATTTTTCATAATTCCTCTCACAGAGAGAACATTCCTTTTTACCCTCTAGCCCTCTTCATATTTTAGAACAGATCTCATCCTAGATCCATTGGCACACAATTTAAAATGCAGTGCAAAGGTTATCATTATTCTCATAAGTGGACTTATTTGTTCAAAGTAATTATACTAATGTCTTAAAATTAATGTGATTTACTGGTTTTAGAATGTTAGTTATTGCACATTTAATACTTTGCTTCAGATTGGTGGAGGTGACAAGAGCTCCCTGGGTATTCAGAAACCCCAGATGCCACCAACGTAGCAGGAAGAAGCTACAGAAGCATATTATTAACCTTTCTTTATAGGGCACTTAGCAAAACCGTGTTCCAAAGAGCTTTGTAATATGAATAAAAATGTAAGTAATCAGTGACAAAATTACTATTTGCTACAAGAGCATGAATGTTAAATAAAAACTCGCTCCAGGCTGTGCTTAAGGAATGCACAACAGACTGCATCTGTTTCTGTGGAAGTGACTGCATTAAGTCTGTTTGAGGTCAGTTAGAAATGTCAGACTCTGCATGCACACTGTGCCAAACTCAGCCCAACTAACTGCCTCCTCTTCTGCTCTTTTCCTCCTTTCAGGTTTCTCCAAACTGTGACCAGGTGTTGGTGAACGGTAAAGAAATGCGTGGTCGTCAGTCTTTGGCAGTCAACTTCACCTACCTGCACCTTTCTGCTCAGCTGCAGCTCACCGTCTGGGTGCCCAAGCTACCTCTGCAGATAGACGTGTCAGATACTGAGCTGAGCCAGGTTAAAGGCTGGAGGGTACCAATTATCACTAACAAGAGGTAAATTACCTGCATAACCTTAAGGGAACAAGTGAGGGAAACTTAGTGGGCATAAGCATTAGTATCAGTTTGCATTTTACATAAAACTGACTGATTCATATGGTAAAAACAATCGTGCTATTGCCTGTCCTCCATTTCCCTTACACCTTTTTTTTTTAGAAGAAAGATAATATAATAGCTACATATATTAAACCCGGTGGCACACAAATGAAAGTTTGCTGTCAATATATATGTTGTTTTAGGGTTAGAGGACAGTGAGGGATGATCTTCTTGTATCATCTCCAGCTCCTATTTAACCAACCTGAAACTGGTCTATAATAGAGCCCAATAATGAATACCACTTTATAACAACATACTACGTATATATTAGTATTAGAGTGTATAATCACCTGAATATAGGAACTGTTGTTGTTACCTTAGAATGAGCCATATCTACAGATATTGCAGGTTGCCTTCCGTGGAGTCGATGTTGAACTGCCATGTTTCTACAGAAGCCCAGAAGGGACAAACTAATCACTGGCTCTAGATAGGGACTCGTTTTTGTGCGTTTCACAGCCACCGTAGTTTCTCCTTTGTGCTGGTTCAAAATGATCTTATTTTACTTATTAGCAAATATATACACCAATTTAATCTATCTGGAAGAAGTTAATCAGTGATCATTACTAAATGAGCCAAACCCACACATGAGCATAATATGCTAAAAATGTAGCTGTAATGTAACAAATTGTGGTAGTACTTTGCCAAAGTTTGTATGAGAGCAGAAAAGGCAGACATTGTTTCTTCAACAAAAAGTACAGAGTTTCAGCATGTGAAGAAAAAGAGACAAGAACGAGATTGTAGATAGATAGATAGATAGATATACTTTATTGATCCCAAGCTGGGAAATTGTAGTGTAGCAGCAGCATTACACACAGTAACAACA